GCTAGTCAATTTAGAGGCAATAGGGATCGAAAATGACTTTTGACAAAAGATTATTTAGAATAAATAATCTTAACCAAGTTTTAGAATATGTCACAAGGTTTCCGTACATATAAAGAACGCCGAAATCCGAGTTATAACGAAGAAGTTATGGCCCGTCGAAGTTTTACGGCAAACCCGGTACGACACCGGGAAGCGTAAATAGTAAGTTTATGATGGAGCGACTTTTGGCCTTAGAAATCTAAATGAAAGTTGTAGTATATGTTAAACTGAGAACATTTAAAAAAAAAAAAAAAAAAAAAAAAAAAAAAAAAAAAAAAGAATGCCCAAATCTGACTTCGTATGAGGAAGTTATGATTTTTCTAAGATTCGGCTTAGCAGTGCACGGCCCGAAACTCGAATTTTAGTTCGAGCGGTTTTTGGCTTACACAACCTAAATGAGAGTTGAAGATCTCATTAATAGGAACTCAACGGTAAAAATAAAGATGAAAACGGAGTCCGTATGAAGGAGTTACGAATTCTTCGCGGTCATTTAACAGTCTAAACGCCTCCTACTGTTAAATTTAAGATCGGTCGAGAATTAGCCGACAGAGTCTAAATGAAGGCTGTAGATCTTGATTTTACCTACGCGTGAAAAAAAGGAACGTCGAAAACGGAGCTCGTGTGCGAAGTTACGGGGTTTAGAAGTTGGGAGGGTGCTGCTGCAAAAGGGGTGACGTGGCTGAATATGGGCCAAGGCTTTATCCCCAAGAAAAGCCATCAGGTGACGACACGTGGCACTGAATTAGCGAGTCAGTGAACCGACTCGGCGAGTCCATCAGGATTTCACGCTATAAATAGATGTGTCGGGTTCCATTCATTCTCACACCTTTCCTCTTCCACTTTCTCTCTCTAAACTCTCTCTCTAGCTCCCCTTAAGCCCCCTAAAGCCTAGGTAAACCCCCTAGCACCCGAAGGAAGCCCCGAGGCTCTTGGAGTCCCAAGAAAAAGGGTCTTTCGGCTCGGAAACGCTGCTCCAGCGAAGCCCGGTTTTCGAGAAAACCCGCTGTAAGTGAGATACGCCTACCCTATCTTTAGCATAGCTTATGTTTCGATATAGTAATGTTATTAGGTCTTTAAAATAATTATTTGGGATATTATTAGGAATTTTATTGAGTTTTATTTAACTCTTATATAATAATAATAATAATAATAATAATAATAATAATAATAATAATAATAATAGCTAGACTATTAATTAGTTGCGGTTATCGTTAGACTAAACCCTAGTGGTATTGGTACTAGGTTTTATCGAAGGAAAATTGTTTTGAGAGTATCGAAGCGCGGTCCGAGTGCTAAGTCACCACCTTTCAAGTGAGTGCATGGTCCCTTTCAGCTTACACATAGATATGAAGTATTTTATATAAATTACATGCTATGTGTGCATATTATCTGAATACTTGCTATCAATGTTGGGTGAACGATTTTATACATGTTTTAAATGATTTAAACTGTATATGTATTTTATATCTACAAATATGTTGGGATAAAACATGGGTAGATGAAATAGTTTCTGTGTGACAAAAATAAAATGATGAAGAGGTAATATAGACCATGAGGTAAAGGTGAGAGGTGAACCATGAGAGAAGCCTTTTTCCCAAGTGATAGCCCCGTCATCCAGCAGAATATGGATGACAACCATGGACTATTCTAGACAGTCCAGTGGACACTAGCAGGCTCATAAACTGTAGGTGGTTTGAACTGTGTATTCACCAGGTGTACTCTAAAAACCCATCGACATGTATTGCGAGTGGATTCTCGGAAAGGATACCGTTGATAAACGAGATAAAACCCATTGACCTGTATTGCAAGAGGAGTCTCGGAAATGATACTGTCAATAAACGAGATAAACCTTGGGAACTATGGATTTAGTGTCCGTTGAGTAAACCTTGGCAACGATGGATTTCGTGTCTATTCCTTAGGATAACCCTTAGGAATAAATAAACGAGGAATAACTTAATTCTTAGAGTAGAATAAAGAAGATAATGGGGATGGGTAATTGAATTGATTGTTTGATTGTTTATATATAATAATTATATTATTGTGGGTTGAAAACCCTATGTCCTGACCAGGTTTCATAACCTGACCCACTCAGTTTATTTATATCACAGGTGTTGATATGAAGTCACCTTACACTGAGAGATTTAAAAGAGATGTAGATCACTAGTGTAAATAAATGTAAGTTCTGTTTATGCTTATGTTTCTGTATTAACGATGACATCCCAAACGTTTTAAAATAAATAAAATACGTTTCTTCGAAAATGTTTTGATAACGTATTTATCATATTTTTCTGGGAACAAATTCCGCAACATTTTTATGAAAAGAAGTACTCTGATTTTTAAAAAGCATAAACAAAATCGGTCTTTTCTGGCTGTGAAAAATGGGGATGTCACACTAGCCCTAATGTTTGTAGTATGTTTTTATGTGTATGGTATGTGGTAGTTTGGGGAGACTCACTAAGCTTCGTGCTTACGGTTTTGGTTTCAGGTACTTCTAGTTACAAAAAGAAGAGGCCAGGATGACTGCATTGCACACACCAAGATATTTTAGCATGGGATGTTTACTCTTATATTTTGATATATGATTTTGATACGGTGATTGATATGATGAAATATTCCCATTTATGTTTTCATGAGATGAATGGAATTACTATGGTTTTATTTATGATTTAAAAAGAAATTTTTAGAACGTATTTTTTGGATGTTTCATTAGGTTAGATGCATACATAATATTGTTTGTATAAAACTCATCACCTATCTTTACTGTTGCTTTGGAGTCTTCTTTGGAGTCCACATAGGAGTAGACTTCTTCCGTTTTATTTGTTAGATTGTGCTATTGATGGTGATGATGTACATTCCAATAAAGACGACAAGGGAATTAAGGTAAGATTGTTCAATTTATCGTTTTGTATTGAATAAAGTGATATAATAATTTATTTTATTATTAATTGTGTTATTTATTTAGGGAGGATATTCAAATGTCAATGAATGAAGTGTTGAATGAAATTAATAAATACCGAAGATGTAGTGAATTGTTGATATGTTTTTGGACATGTCGTTATTTTATATTCGTAATTTTGGATTTGTCGTATTTTGCATTTGTAATATTGAATTTGTCTTTGTAAGATTGTTGGAATTGTCGTTTTGTAATATTGGATTCTTAATGTTGGATTTTTAATTTTTTAGTTTCTAAAAGATTAAGTTTTAAGCTTTTAAAATCATTAAAAATAGTCTTTTTGCCTAAAACAAAATAGTTTTTTAGCAAAAATATCCAATTTTAAACCTATAAACCAGTGAAACTAGGATGGGACCGGGGCTGTGTAAACAGAGGATCCAATGGCAAGACCGGGGGCTAATGCAACAACTGATTTAGGGGGTGGGGGCGGGACAATTATTTCCGCCTCCATTGACATCTCTAGATACGAGAAAACAAGAGAGAAAATTGCGGCAAAAACTAGTTGCGTGCGGCGAGACGGCGAGACTGTAGAGGAAACTGTAAGGTGGGTGCGGTGTTCCCTTGTCACCATGGTAATGATACGGCTAAACCGCACCCACACCCTTTACCCTTTTGTCTAAGGGATAATGACTTAAAAAGATAATAAAGTTTCAAAAATATACAAAAAATACCATTATTTTATTTTTAGTACTCAAAATACCATTAAAGTATATTTTTTATACACAAAATACCAATGAAGTACACATGTGTTCAAATAATACCTTGTGGGTAACCTACAATAGCCGGTAAAATGGTATTTTGTGTACAAAAAAAAATAATGGTCTTTTTTGTATATTTTTGAAACTTCGTTAACTTTTTAAGTCATTTTTCCTTCTTTGAATGTAATGGAAATTTAGCTACTTTTTATAAAGAACCCTCTACTTCACTCCGGCCACTACTGTTGTTCATCGCCCCCTTCCACCACCATGGCAAAACCCTTTTTCTTATTCTTCCTCCTAATCATCTGCATACTTTCATCAACGTCAGAATCTCACCGGCCACCTCCGTTTCTCGGCAAATCCCCACAGCTTCTCAAAACCCAAAAATTCTTGTTCAGCCGAAGTACACTTACGAGACACCATACTTTGATCAGACTCTTGATCATTTCAGTTTCAATGATCTTCCCAAGTTCCAACAACATTATCTCATCAACTCCGATCACTGGGTGGGCCCAGGCCCTAGTCGTTTGGACCCAATCTTCCTTTATTGCGGCAATGAAGGCGACATCGAATGGTTCGCTGCCAACACCGACTTCGTTTGGGAACTCGCCCCTCGTTTTGGTGCCATGGTCATCTTCCCCGAAGTAAAAGCCTTAATTACTCTACTCTACATTAATTTGTTCACTTGCAGACCTTTAATAATACAATTTTATCAAAAACTACGTGATTTGATCTAGCATCGATATTATGGTGAATCGATGCCATATGGAAGCCAGAAAGAGGCATACAAGAATGCTTCTACTATAGTCTATCTAACAGTCGAACAAACACTTGCTGATTACGCTCTTCTCATCACCGATTTGAAGAAAAATTTATCAGCCGAAGCATCACCTGTAATCTTGTTTGGCTGATCATACGGTGGAAGTAAGATCTTTTCCAACAATTTCAACAAAAATTAAACAAGCACTTGCTGATTACGCTCATCTCATCCCATTTACCTGAAGTACCTGGTTACCACAATGTTTTAGTTGAACACATGTGTATTTTGTTGGTATTCTGTGTACAAATAGTAACATTAATGGTATTTTTTGTACTAAAAAAATAATAATGGTATTTTTTGAACATTTGAAAACCGGATAACCTACAATAGCCGGTAAAATGATATTTTGTGTAAAAAAAAACAACAATGATCTTTTTTGTACACTTTTGAAACTTCGTTACCCTTTTAAGTCATTATCCTTTGTCTAATTGTATCGATCGATAAAATAATAACTTTAAAATAAAATATGATCGTTATTTTATTCGGTTGTCGACTTGTCGTAATGCTAAAGAGAAATACTTTCACGCGTTATTGCCGTAAATAAAATTTGCATTGATCCATACCCCAATCAATACCCACTTTCTCCCCTCTTTTAATCCGTCCGTGTAATTCGATTCTTCGTCGCTAAGAATACATGTAACTCTCGTTGTCTCTATAAAATGCCTCTTCAATCCCTCCTATCTTCCTCCATCATCACTCTCTCGCTAATCTCCATCATCACTATATCATCATCTATGGCAGAAGCCGATTCATCTGTTCCCAAATCTGTATCAGCGGCAGTCCATATCGTTTACACCGAGCGACCTCAACACGAAGATCTCGAAATTTATCACCTTCGCACCCTCTCTTCAGTCCTCGGAAGGTCTCTTCTTTTTGTTATTATTACTCCATCTGATCAATGTAGAAATTTCATAGATAAATGGATTTCCTTACGAATTCTAACTAAATTGTGTACTTCAATTTTATACAAGTTATTGATAGCAAATTTATAGACTGATTATTTATCCAATCCCGAAATTGAAGTTCGATGTTGCAATAAGAGTCCAACAAATTAGGTCTTAAACTGAGAGCCAACGTAATTCCGTTTTGATCGTGATTCTAACGAATTAGGGCTTAATAATTGGGCAAAATATTTCATTCGTAGTAAAGTCGTCGCTGTTTGAAGTTAGGAAGGCATCTTGTTTGAATTACGATATCAGAATTGAAGTTATTTCATTTCATTGGAATAAAACAACTTGGGCTGATAAATAGTTGCGTTTCTGTCTTTGATTTTTGAGTTTGTGTTTATTTATTGTTATTTCGTTTTACTCATTGATAGCGAGGATGCAGCAAAAGGGGCTTTGTTGTACACGTACAAACACGCAGCTTGTGGATTTTCTGCAAAACTCACTCCTGAACAAGTTGAAGATCTTTCTAGTATGATTCTTTTCCTCTTTGAATCTCTTCATTTTGGGTATTTTGTGCCAAAATTGATTGAGCCTTGAGCTTAATTATGATAAACATATTTCTAATTGCTTTCGTTTTTGTTTTGATAGAACAACCAGGTGTTCTCCAGGTGGTCGAAAGCAGGACTGTGAAGCTCCATGATTCACCTGTAAAACTCTCCCACTTCTAAGATCTACAATAGGGTTGAGATTCTGTTGGCTAAAAGACTATGACTGTTTTACCAATGGTTACGTTTTAGTGGTGTTACATGAGTGTTCTTGTCTTTAAATACAGGAAAAATGACTTTGAAGTGTATTGAACTATCACTTTAAACTTTTGTATATATATTTACTCATTATGTTTGTGTACACGATTTACTGTTAAACTCATAGTGGTGTTGTTAAAAACCTACCATTGTAAATATTGCAAGTTAATGTTTTTTTTTATTCGTATGTGATTTACTATTATAAGTTTTTTGTATATGATTTATCATTAAATTATATACCGATCATCTTCGCTAGCCATAACCATCAACTCCTATAACAACTACCCATTTCCTGCAACAAACAAGAATATAGCCTTCCATTATCCGACAAAAAACAATTAAATTATATTTTTCCTGGTTTTTTACTCTTGCGATCATTGTTGGTCGCTACATAGTTCATAGTGAACCGAAGATTGGGTGAGGAAATCTCAATCTAATTCTCCTGTTAACCTCAATGAAGTTTGCTAAGGGTCCCAAACATTGCATCTAGCAAAAGCATGAGCCACAATGAGAGAAAAAATGGTGTTTTCTTTGGTAGTTTTGACCCAACATGTTATTAGTAGGTGCAAGTGTGAAGCTTAATTGTGGCTTATCTGGGTTCTCCAACGATATTTTTTTTTCTCTGGCGAATGATGTTTAGATGGGTGTATCGACATCTGCTTGTGTTGGCAGGAAAATATGACAGCAAAATTGATGATTTTAACACAGGAAAATATGACAGCAAAATTGATGATTTTTGGAATAGATGAAAGTGACTAAGGTATTGTTTGTTTTTCTATAAAAACCTCTACAAACCACTTATTGCTGCACGACACAGCACACGCGCAACACTTTCCTTCTCGCAGCAGTTTGTTTTTTTGGAAGACTTTAGAATCAAAACATCTGCGCGTGTGCTGCGTGGCGCATCATTTGATTTGCCTCTTCTAACCTTTTCAGCTTTCATTTTTTCTAAGTGTTTTTTAAAGAATTTTTGTATAACTTTTTAAATTTTTTTTTTTAAACTTTGATTTTCTTAAATTTTTATTTACGGATGTGATACAATTTATTTTTATAATTTCCACGATTGTTTTTTTAACTTGATTTTTTTTAATTTTTTTTACCATTTTATTAATAATATTTTCAATTTCAGTTACATCTTTTTTAACGTGTGTAATTTTTTACGAACTTTGTAGACAAGGTTTGCAATACTTTCTTAATTTTTTTATTATCTTCTTTTTTAATGTTTTTTAAAATTAGTTTTTTTCTAGAATAAAACTATTAGCTTCGTTTACATTTTTTTTAAGTTTTTTTTTTTTTTTAAAGCTTTATATTTTTGTTTTTTACATGTTCTTGTTATTATTATTTCAATGTTTTAAGATTAGAATTATTAAATTTTAGTGTTGAGAATTATTTTCAGTTTATAAAATTAGTTTATTTAAATTTAGTTTATTGCAGCAGTCTGCAGATGTTAAAAAACAAACATGCTTCTTATTATAGGCTGCAGCTGTTTGTTTCACCTCTTCTGCTACAGAGGATTACAGAGGTGGTCTGTAGACTTCATGAATTTTCGCTTCAAAAAAACAAACAACGCCTAAATGTATATAAAAATTTTGTTTATAGTTGTGAGTGAACAACAAATATGAGTTTAATGAGGTTTTTTTGTAAACCAACTAGCCATGTTATGTCAAAATGAGATTTCTTGAATAATTAAGTTAGTGTACGGAAAAATTGACTACACGTCTACAAAAGTGATAGTTTATGTATTTTTTAGATGTTATTTAATGTAATTTTTCGTTTTTAAAATTCTTACAATTATTTTTTGTCAAATAGTTATATATAAGTGGAAGTCATAATTCTAAACTATTTTTTATAAGTATACCTCGAAGGTGTTATCTACATTACTAAGCCTAGACTATATATAATAGTAAAAGTCGAATCGGTTTATGAACAACGTTTTTTTTTTTTTTTTTTTTTTTTTTTGGAGACAACTTCAATTTAGATCCGAACTCTCCACCTCCTCTGTCACCCAATGGGTGTCTTCCACAGTTACAATCAATAATAGTCTCTGATAACCATAGACCATCAACATATTTCAATATAAAATAAGTTCGATTAGCATGATATATTAACCATGTAAAATTATAAGGATGGTGCTTTAGTTTTTCCATTTTTTCCAATTTCATTTCAATATTGGTCCTAAGCTTTCATTACATACAATATATGTAGTGATTAACAGACTAAATTTTACAGTGTTACAAAAAGTGCTAAAATTGAAAGAAAACAACGAAGGACCGATATTACAACAATCAATACAAATTGACACATACTACAGTTGAAAAAGAAAATGGTTTTGCGACCATACTAAAAGAAAAAGGTTTTCCAACAACTTTAACTTTTTGAAAAACTTACTTTTCTTTGAGGGAATACACCAAGTATTCCTACTAGAATCATCAATGAAAGTAAAGACATAACGGCTCCCACCAATCGAAAATATTCCCATTAGTCCACAAACATCTAAATATATAAGCTCTAATGGTTTAGATGCTCTCCATTCCATTTCATGTGGGAATGATTCTCTTGAATGCTTGCCTAATATACATACCTAACATACTCGATCAACTTTGTTGATATTTGGCATCCAGATCATTTGATGTTTGCATATATATTTCAAGTATCCAAAATTCACATGATAATACCAAATTAGCGACTTAATACATTTCCATGAAGGTTGTTGTTTACACCATAGCTCTGATATCATTTGTAACATCCTTCAAATGCACGTACCATAATATTGTCCATATAGGGCATCTCAGTATGAAAACTTCCAAGGGTCGATCGTGAAATTGCTCTTGCCCTTACCCCCGTAACTCTTGGGTTCCCATTAGATATGTTGTCCCTATGACTTTAAAACATGTCGTGATAGAGAAAATATCTACACTCCATATAAGGTAGTGTTTAGATCTCTTTACTAGTCTATGTGGATCGACGATCCCTCCCCAGTGAGGCATGTAAGCGTTGTTATTTTGTAAGATATTTCCCTAAGAAATATGTACTTTTTAAATAGTGAATTATTTTGCTTTTTTTAGTTGAGTCAATAGAGAGTAGTGTGCTGTCTTGAATAATAAATTGTCCTTGGTACATGGTAATTACAAATTACAAGCTAATAAATAGCAAGTAAAGCCAGCCAAAATTGCAAAAATTCCTCGGGTTTTTTATCCATGAAAAAAAGTTGTACTTGCTAGAAGTTAGAATTGAAAATTCGACATAAGGTCCAAGGTTACATATGAAAACAATAGGTATTTGGGTCTTATGATCTAAGGATTACCCTCATCGTCAAATCTTATTCAATCGAATTCAAGCTCAGATATGAATTTCATGGATCATAACTCATAAGTCATTAAGTTAACTCCATTAGTTACACATATTATCTATAATTCTCTAGATGTTGAAGCATATTAACCACCTACTTCATTATTGGTCGCACCTTCCTATTTTCCTCTGCACATTGCAGTGCAATATTAACAAGATTTTCTATGGTGATCCGGTCATATTCCCCACTTATCGAAGGATTTACAATCTCCTGAATCCAAGATTCCCTTCCATTTCCATTAATCCTATCTCTCACCCAATCAATAAGCGTAGGCTTTGTGTCACCATTTTCATCGCTTCTTTGTTGCTTCCCTGTAGGAGTTCGTGTTGGTGATTTTAGTGTCACCATGTCATTTTAAGTAACTAGAACTAACATGTGAGCTAAGGGGCTTCATGGTTTGTACTCTAAGACATGTACGGGGTTGTGCGGAGTGCACGCATGTATAAGATCGAGTCAGAATCCGGTTTGATGACTAGTAAAGGGTCCGGGGGCAGCGCCCCTGGGTCCGGGGTTTCCAAAGGGCAGCGCCCCTAGCGGGGTCCAAGGGGCAGAAGACGGTTGTTCTTTAGTATATAAACAACTCTTCCTTTTCAGAAGATGGTTGTTCTTTAGCTCTTGTTTTTCATCACACATTCACAGAACCCTTTAGCATAATAGCTTACGTTTTCTATGCCTAGAAACGTAGGTGTCCGCTTGGATTATCCTAGACTGAATTTCTTGTAGCTCAGGCATAGGGTGGAAATATCAGTTGGGAAGGTGATATCACGATCCAAGCTGGTATCCAGATCTCCACCGCAAACCCTAATCTTCCCAACAGTCCGTCCTGTAATCATCTCTAGTATCACAACCCCATAGCTAAATACATTGACTTTTGAAGTAATTGGAAGATTAAACACCCATTCAGGAGCCATGTATCCTTGAGTCTCTCGCACTGTCGAAAAAATTGATTTCCCTATTCTATCCCTATCGAATAGCTTTGAAAGACCAAAATATCCGCGACCTTTGGATTGTAACTACTATCTAGGAGTATGTTATGAGGTTTCACGTCTCAATGAAGAACCCATTCCAAGCACTCTTCGTGTAAATAAGCTAACCCTTTAGCTGTTCCTTTTGCGTTCTCGAATCTTGTCTCCCAAATGAGTTTCCCAAGATACAAGTTTCCGACCAATGATCCGTTCTCCATATACCCGTAAATGATAGTCGATTTTTCCTTCAACACAATAACGAGTTTTTTGCAAAAGTGGGTTGAAAATAGAAACTCTTTGTAAAAATGGGTTGATTCTTATTTGATTTGTAAAAATAGGTTTTTTGTGGCCCCACATAAAAAACAAACAAAACAAACGTATTAATATATAATTTTATAATATTGACCCCTTCAACTTTCATAATAATCCCATAACTTATATATTATTTAATTTTTATATCTTTAATTTTTAAGTTTATATTTTAATCTTTATTACATATAATATATAAGTTTATTATTCAAATTACATAATCGTAATTTATGTAAATATCTAATATTTCTTTTTAATCATATATATATATATATATATATATATATATATATATATAATTTTTATATCAAATTATTTGTAGAAAAAAAACAAAAGTCATTGAATTGTCATTATTTATCTGGAAAGTAGATGTCTGAATTGTCACTATCCACATGCAAAAGTAGACGTTTTAATTGTCACTATCCACATGCAAAAATAAAAGTATGAATTGTCACTTTCATCTGAAAATAAGTAAGTAAAAGTTAAAAAAATAATTCTAACTTTGATTACGTTTAATTTATTTTCTGATGTATATATTGAATTCACAATTTTATTTTCCATCATCATTTTCATAAACCATACTTCTCACAAATTTGAAATCCCAGCTTTTCTTCTTTAATTCTTCAGTCACGTTTCTGACTTCATACACAAATCTTCATTCACAACTAAATTGTAAGGTACATACTCTTGTCTAAATTTCAAATATCTAACGTGAAACATTATATATAATATGATAATTTATATATTTTATCTTATTGTTTATTTTGTAGTTACAAATAATGTGGCCTGCGGATACTAGTCTTGTAGATCTTTTTAACAATTATGGAGTATCACAGCTAGTTCAGCTTATTGATTTTGTCATCAACCCCTCTGAGGTATAATTTTCTTTACCTAATGGTGCTAGATGTGAGACAGATAATGACTTTGGATTTGATGAACCCAACTCCCAATTTAGTGAAGATAGTGTTAGTGAATCATTAAGTGATGTTGGGGATGAGTATGACGATAATGTGAATGAAACTCCGATTGTGAGTAACCATCCAGTTATGAACTTTATGAACGATATTGGAGACAAAGGAGATGATGACATAGTAGATATTCAAGACAAAATTCATTTAGATTTTTAGAATGAATCTAAAAACAAAATAAGGTTAGGAATGTTGTTTGAAAATAAGAATCAGGTAAAAAAGGCACTAAGACTTTGGTCGATCAAGAAAAATAGAGAGTTTAAGGTTTGTGAAAGTAAAAGTAGTTTTTGGATAGCAAAGTGTAAAACTCTTGGTGGTGAAGAAGGAAGTTCTAATACCGACCCATATACACCGTAGTGTGCATGGTATGTTTGTGCAATGAAAAAGAAAAAACATCATATGTGGAAGATCACACGTTGGGTGGATGCACACAATTTTTTTGGATCTTGTAGAGGCAATGACAACAAAATTCTAAACTCTGCAACTATAGCCTTCTATATCATCCACTCAATTGAAAAAGATATTGCTTATCCAGTGAAACATATACAGGAAGATATTAAAAATATTATAAATGTTGATGTGTCTTATTGGAAGGCATGGCATGGTAGGAGGAAAGCCATAGAGAACATTTATGGAACTTGGGAAAGTAACTTTGCAGAGTTACCCAAGTACATTGCAACTTTGCAAACTTCAAATCCTAATACCGTCGTGAAATGGTTTCATAATCCAAATAGCTCATTACATGTGGCAACATTTAAGTATATTTTTTGGGCTTTTGGACCTATAATTAATGAATTTCATCTACGTCGACCTGTTATTTCCATTGATGTTTGTCATTTGATAGGTTCGTACAAGGGTAAAATGCTTATTGTTGTTACAAAAGATGCCAACAATAATATATTACCAGTTTCTTATGCTATTGTTGATAAGGAAACTACACACAGTTGGAGTTGGTATTTGTATCAGTTCATACATTTTGTTGCTCAAGACAGACAATTGTGTGTTATTTCAGACCGACATCAAGGAATAATTCACGCAATGGAAAATCTAGAAGAATGGAAAGAGCCATTGGAATACCATCGATTTTGTCTTCGACACATCCGAAGCAATCTCATGAAAAAGTACAAGAACGTGAGGCTTAAATCATTTTGTTGGGATATTGGAAGCACCACACAAAAAAGAAAGTTTGTGAAGTATATGAAACAAATCAAAGCAATCAATCTTGAAGCCTGGTAGTATTTAGATCAAATTGATAAAAGTCAATGGTGTCTTTTTTATGATGAAAGTCGTTGATGGGGGTCGTTAACGACAAATATATTCGAAAGTATGAATAATGCGCTATGAGGAGCAAGACAACTACGTATTAGTGCGTGTATTAATCTTACATTTAATAGAACTGTGCAACTTTTTAGAAAACATAGTGATGCTGCAATGAATTGCAATACACCTCTACCATCATGTATGTGGCGTCTCTACGTGACACTTCTGTACAAAGTCATACTTTAACCGAGTTCAACTATAATGAAGGTGTCTATAGAATTGTCACCAAGTTACGAGTAAATGGAAACGGAGGAAATACCCACACTGTCATTTATTATCAACATACATGCACATGTGGTAAGTGACAGATGGAAAGATTCCCTTGTTCACATGCTCTTGCAGTTTGTCGTTTTAGAGGGGATAACCCTTTTTTCATTAGCAATCATGTTTATACAATTGTGATGTACAAGCAACAATATAATGACGGGTTTTCACCACTACCTCATGTTGATTATTGGTTAGAGGCTAATTGGAGTATTCAAGCAGATAAATCAAAATGTGTTTCCGGTCGAGGTCGGCGGCGTGCAAATCGATTTCGTAACGAGATGGATGTTCGTCATTTTGTTGAACCTCGTAAATATGGACCATGCCATCAACCTGGTCATAACAGGAGAAATTGTTCAAATTCTCAACCAAGATTCAATGTGATGTAAACCATGTAACTTTTATTATTCTTGTAATTTTATGTTTAATTTAGTTGTTAGTTAATGTTTAATTTCTTTTGTAGTCGTGTCTTTAATTATCTTGTAATTTCGTAATTTTGTAACATGTAATATATTCGATATTGGTATCAATTAGAATGTATTTATTAAAACTTTCTAATGGTGTAAATCGCAATAACATAATAGACATATTCAGTTGTATGTTTTTAATATATACAAATTTACATTTGTTGTAAAAAAAACTTAAAAAATAAATTTTTATTAAAAAAGATATAAAATAAATATAACAAGTTATAGGGTTATTATGAAAGTTGAAGGGCCCAAAATGTAAAATTACATATTAATAGGTTGATTTTTATATGGGGACACAAAAAAAAACCCATTTTTGCAAATGAAATAAAAATCAACCCATTTTTACAAAGGGTTTCTATTTTCAACCCATTTTTACAAAAAAATAAAATAAAATAAAATAAAATAAAATAAAATAAAATAAATAAAACTTGAAACAATAACCCATGTTTCTACCATATTCATGTGATTCAGCCTCCTGATTATGCTGATCTCTGTTTGAAGTTCGTCTTCACCTAGCTGATTTGTGTTCTTGATCTTCTTGATTGTTGCAACTCTGTTATCTGATAAAATACCTTTATATACTACACCAGTGCCACCTTGCCCCATCTCTTTGCTGAAATTACTTGATGCCTTTTTCAGTTCACTGTATGTGAATTTTTTGAACGCTGTGGCTGCCGGAAAATAACATTGATCGACTGTAATCGAGTGTTTACTGCTCTTATACTAGAAAAACACTATGCCGATGATCTCAATAAACCGATCACGTATCCTAAAACATCCATGGAGTTAATTATCTTGGTATGATGTTTTTTCTCATACGATCTTATCATGGGTGTCACAGCCTGGCCTACGCAACTGACGTTTTGTTCGTTTTTTGTTTTCAGATGAAATGATGGCACCAACATTTTTGGTAATTTGATATATATAGTGTTGTAGAATCCTATTTGGTATCTATTATACAAAGAATTCATCATATGGAAAACATAGATTCCTTTGTGACAGTCGTATGAAAATCGAAACCCTTTGCAAGTGCAATCATCTAAGCAATCTTTCTTGCATGAATCGAGAGTGTAGTTGGGGTGATACAGGATATCGTACCCATAGAATTCTGCTTAGGTAAGCTTAATGAAACCCTCGTTATCTGGACTACAACCCTCGAATTCAGGTGCACATCCGTAACTCCAATCTTCAAAATTCACCATCTTGTAGCCATGTAAGCAAATGCATCTCCTACCTACATCTTGTGAATAAGTACAAAGACTATTTGTTTCGCAAATACCATGAACCCTACAAGAACGGGAAACGATTTGCCATTGAACTTGCCATTCCTTTCTTGTTAGATGTTCAATGAAACTGTAAACTCTTAGATTACCATCGATGGCGATCTTCATCATTCTTTGGGGTCTAATTCTGTAATCAGCCAAGAAAAAATCAGGACCATCTGATGACTTGAATCCACCATCTAAATTAAGGCTTGCTCTTTGATTGTATACATACTGGTATCTCCCAACTGATGGGTTTTGGTCATAAGACATCCTATGTGCTCATACAAACCCTAATGCTTGGATCTAGGTTTCTCTATTGTACATGCTTTGAATCCAAGACTATAAACCCTAATTCTAGCATGCAAGTAATCATATTAACATGTAATTAGGTTTAAGAACATACCTTGATTGTTATGTAGTAATAACAATCCCAATTCCTCCTTGTATTGACTTTGGAATGCATAGAGTCACAAGTGTCACTCCTCTAATGGCTTACAAACACCATAAGCAAATGGAGAAGGTATAAAGAGAGAAGTGAGAGGTTAGAATTCGTATCTAGGACCTCTTGGGAAGGGATACACGAATTCATGGCCCTAGGGGTGTTTATATAGGTGTAGAGATAGGGTTTCAGTCATTATCCTTATCTAGTTGATTATCCATTAAGCAACCAATAAGATAATCCTTGAATCCTTATCATACTCGAATTCTAAGGTTTACACCTCAAATTCGTTCACCATATATATAAGATAATTCTTACCTTATTTTGTAACTATCACATAATTACAATTCAGCCCCTCTAGTTTAATTAATTACATTTGATCACAAAACTAATTCTTAATTAATTATTGACCAATATTAATTAAACAAATATGATTTCTCCTTTAATATATTATTCTTATAACATATTAATAAATCATATTATCCTCTCTCTCTTTATTCATTTCTCCAATCAAGTTGCTTTGGTGAAGGCAACCCAAAAGGACCATGCACCATCGGGTCAAGTACATACCAAAATAGTTATGGACTTAGACACTAATCCAACAGTCTCCCACTTGGATAAGTCTAACAACTATTCTGCGTATGACTTCAGATCCTGATCTGCAATCGTAGCTTTCCAAAGCCGCTGTCAACTCTGATCATATCAGATACGCGTGTCCTTAGATAAGGGATCATATATTCCTCCATTCTAGATATCGTATGAGATATGATTTCTAATCATTCTCTTTGTACTATTCTCGATTTCCGATTTATGACGACAGACTAATTGAACAAATCAAATTAGCCCTAGCCCGGCCGAGCATTTACGTATGTCATCACTAAACCATCGAGGGGCCCAAAGATATCGCTTTTATCCTACTTTGGATAAAAGGAACGGATAAACTTTGATACAATGCTTGCTTGCACTCACTCACCGAATTACACACAACAATATGTTTTATAACACCAAGTTACTGGTGCGTTTACATATTATCAATGTGCAACCGATTCGCAAGATACAACTCACACATCTCGGTTTCAAGAATATAAGATGTTATCGTCTCACCAATCACTCGTAATACAATTCATGGAGTGATCCAAGTGAGCGTGGGTTTAATCCAATGCTCAAATCATATTCATAAGCACTCATGAACGTTGCAGCAAACATTTGCTTATGTCTAATACTCTTTTAGACAATCCACACACCAATTCACGACAGTCTTCATTCATATCTACTTCCAACATATGAACGACTGTGGCCCGTTTGAATAATTCGATTATTCTTAATAAACTCAATTATTCTGGAAGTCAAAACATGCAAGGTGAAACACAAGAATAATACTAATCCCATATGGCCTCAAACCTTTGAGTATAAACAAAACACGTTTTATTTATCACCATATCGATTACTCATTATTTGTCGTTTCGGGTAATCAACTTCGCATTTGAATTCCAACACTTGTCCCATGCTCCTAGCATGCACACAATGTTTACCTATGGTTCTTACTTTTGCGAAATAGACAAATTGAACACATTTCCAATCATTCTCATTTTACAACTCCAAATCCATTTTCTTAAGTGTAAGAATATCAAATTCTTGTTACTTATAGAATATACTAGATTCTAACACTTTATGCAACGATCCTTTTGTAATGTCACTGCACCAAAGTCTCAAAGACTATTGCCAATGATATTACAAATTCCTCTATCGGAGATTGTTACAAGACAATTCCTTAGATATGATGTCTCTCACTCAAAGTACATTCCTTTGAACATCCTTTTGCATAAAAGTTTCTAATCTAGACATAGATTTTCAATATTTACTTCCCAACATGGACACACTTCCATATTTTCCATATGACAACTCATTCTTAATAGAATCTTATCTATTCGTAATGATGTCGATATGTCCATCCAATATGGAAACACTTCCATAATTTCCAATACTATACTTCCAACTACTCACAAGCGACCAATCCTCGTCGAACTTTGGATTGTCCTTTGATAGTTGTTTAATTATTTTAGTCAAAACCAATTCTAGTCCCTTTTCCCTCTAAATGCACTAGACATTTGGAAAATTTTAGAATGGTCAAAGCATTTGCAATCGATCCTATACCCGAAGCGTATGGGACACGACGCACAATGTTTTATTTGCTATGTTCTCAAAATTCGAATTGCGAAGAGGAATGCCGTAATCACAATCGAAATTTTAAGAACACACTATGTACCTTTGACTAAATTTATTAACATTTCCAACCTAATCCTTTAGATTTGAAATGAAGCATAATATTCTCTCCCTTAATTATAGCAAAACAACCTTTCAACTCTTACAACTTTGCAAAGTATGACTCTTGTTTTCTATAATTAATATTGCCAACTATGCAATACGTGCCTTAATAATCATACAATCATAACATTTATGCTCCCACTATCATGATGATTATTATAAAACATAACACTTATGCTCCCACTAGCTTCGACATGTATTCATAAACATCTTAACTTTCAGAAAAACAATACTTATTGAATTTCTTAAGTTCATGTTTCTAATACTTAGTGCTTTGATAATCTTTTATCAAGGCTTCTTGAACTTATACACTTTTGCCTTAGATAGTTCATATGTGTGTCTTAACAATTAAGACTAATTGCCAAACCTCACAATTCAAATTATGGAAAGGGATGCCGTAACCATGATCGAATTTGAGAATGCAATTTTACAATCACTATCTTTTAAAATCTTTCTTAGTGAAAGCATTTTCTCACAATCATTTTCATGAAGGAGGAAATCTTATGACACTTAGATTTAAACGGTGTATGTGTTCCTATCCATGCGAATTTGTTAAAACCAAAGTTTACGACAAATTCAAACTCATATGGATCGAACTTTCTTAATCTTGATTTCTTGCCTTATGGTAGCACAGCTGCCCACCACGTCTTCCAAGTAGTTAAGCATCTTACCTTTTTCCTATCAATGTACCTTTCATTGATCAAGGTCCTTGCCTTTTACGCATTCAAATGAGAACTCATAGGACTCACATGCATAATTAACTCGATTGGATTGGCACAGAAACAAAATAATGTCTTCACGATAGGTTGTAAACCTCAACTCGTGTGCTAGTGATGATCGATAAGGTTTATTTGATTTGTTCTTGAAACTTTTCAAGACCATTAAGACTCCCACTGACTCCTTGACATATAAGATTCTTTTGTCAATAAACATTTCTTGACAAACAAATATTCAAGAGTTAGTGTAGCTTTATCAAAACACTTCATAAATTGGTCATAGTTGGTCTTTGTCTTATCCAAGACATCACAACTTTCCACATTTGATGAATGTTATAAACCTTTAATACTTTTACTCATTGTCACAATCTTAACTTTAAGACTTGTTATTGGAACAAGTATGATTGTCTTCTTGATTTGACCATTTCTCAATCTTTGATTCCTCTTCTTGGACATACAATTGTACCAAGACTCACTTAGAGGATCAATTGAGATATGGTTCTTAATCATTAAGACCTATCATAAAGCATAAAAGCCACTCTCCCTTCTTCTTAGAATGGAGAAACTCTTATCTTTCTGCCTATTGATTCTTCTTATTCGTTTTGCTATTGATCTAAACCCTTTAATCAATTCAAAATTACACTTAATCTTGTAAGTATAATCATATTTACTAAACCTTTAGTAAATCATGACGAATATCTTTGTTACTCTTATGGTGAACTTGATCAACACACAACTTTGTGTACTCGATCTCCTAGTCCTTCACTTGACACTTTGTCAACGAATTAGTCTAATTTCCAAATATGAAATTTCTCATTCATCATGCAACCAAGTTGCATGATTCCAAGTTTCTGTCCAATTGAAACTTGGGCGATGAGAAACTCTCCCTATTTGGTAAATTCTTGACTTTCCATAACACAATAAGAAACAAATCCATTATTGCTAATAATTTTAACATCAATTTTTCATACACGCCATTGTAAGGATAAATAAATAAAATTTAAAATCAAAATTTATTTTATTGCGGAAAAATTTGTCCTTCACAATGCAACTCATTGAAAAACTTATGCGAATACATCTTTCTTAGCAATCTAATTCTAACTCTAAGTAGTAGCTCAAGAATCTAATCTTCGAGAAACGCAATCGAAATCCATTCCTTCACGGTTAGATTCTGCTCACTTCTTCCCTTAAGCTTCTTTTCTTTTCTTTGATCCTTCTAAACATCAATTGTAATCTTATCACATTATGTATTCAGAATCTAGAATGAAGCTTAAAAGAGTTAGTCAATGGATTTTACCTAAATTAGAGCCATACGTTTCGACTCTCCCATCTCTTAGATCTCTTAGGTAAATAGGGCAGCTTCGTCTCCAATGCCCCTTCTCTTGGCAATAAAAGCAAATTGACTCTTTTGGAACAACACATGGAACTACTTCAGACATCGCCTTTCTCTTATGATCAAACTTTTCGATCATTGCATGTCTTTCATTGCCATTGTCTATATCCATAGAGGTCTCGAAGGCAGATTCACCAATCAACTTTGCTTTTCTATTGCGCCAAACCATTGCTGATTCAGCAGCAATAAGCATATAGGTGAGATCTATAAGGGTCACGTCGCGGTTCATCATATAGTACTCTCTTACGAACTCACTATATGAGTTAGGAAGTGATGAAGAACCCAATCAACAGCCATCTCTTCACCGACAATGGATCCTATCATTCTTAGTCTATCAATGTGCGACTTCATCCCTAGGACGTGTGCACACACCGACTTTCCTTCTTTATGTTTACTT